ATAAAGTTTTATCATTCGCTATAACTTAAAAGGCTATTGTGTTTTTTATTGTGAAAAATAAATTTTTATCTTTGTGTCCGTTTGTTTTCGTATGTTTTGACAAATATTTGTTCAACGAATGGCGTCGAACTTTTTAGTAAATTTAAATTTAAATCACTTTATTTTTCAATATCAGGATGATTTTATTATCACAATTCAGCATATTTTAGTGCACGTCAAGTTGTCATTTTATTGTACTGTGTGTACGATTACCGAAATCAAAGATGAGAAAATCTTACCTTTCTTCACATTGTTCATGTCCATCTATGCTAAGAGCCAAGCGTATTCGTAGATGGTATCCGACAAATGACTTAGATACATTTTGTTTAGTAAATCTATGACAGAGTTAGCTTTTAAGTTCATTATAAAACATTAGCACAGGGAATTTGAAATAAATCGAGGTGTACGTGTACGCGTGTTCAACTGTTAAGAATTGATTTTTTTTGTCATACCAGTGCATTGAAAAAAATATTTATAAAAGAGTGTGTTAAATAATAACAAAAAAAAAAAAAACGTATCAAATATAACTTTGCACAAAATAACTACAAATTAAAAAGATAAAAAACGAAAAAATCGAAAACAAAAAAGCTGATTCTACGTATCGAATAAAAAAAGAATAGATTAAAACGGTAATAACTCAAAATCTAGCATAGTTTTTTTTTCTCGTAGAGAAACGATAATATAAATAGACAGACGTCTAATTTGTTCGTTAAAAGTAAAAAAGTGAACACCGGAATTTTTCAAACAATTTCAAATCGATTGAACTTCAGTAACGATGGAACAATGACTATAAGAATAAGAACACGTCCTATGTTACACGTTAAGTTTTACAATTTTTGGACTCAGTTTAAAATTAGTCGCTTCTATGTCTATTATGAAGAATAAAAAAAATAAAATGAAAATTGAAGCAGACTATTCTAAGCTAGCATCTAAAAAAAAAAAAGTAAGCAAATAAATTTTTTTTGTGTTTTCTTTTTCATTCTAATTAAAACCCGTTAAACACACACACATTAAAACGCATAAAATGGAATGTATAGAACAAATTAAAAAAAATAATAACAGCCAGGAAAAGTATTTAAAATTTGTTTCACAACAATCACGTATATTTTTCACTAATTCGGAGTACAATTGATGTTGGCTAAACATACATACGATTACAAATTAATAAACAGTATCCCTGAAAATTAACTTAGTGTATGATTATTTTATATGAAAATAGAAAACAAATGTATATTATGAATTTCGATAATCATGATCATATTGTCCTCCTCCGTTATTGTAATCATTTGTTATTGTTGTTATATTCATATATCTCGATGAATCATCATCAATTGGTATTATTTTACTGGTTCGAGATGCTTTTGTTATTGTCGATGATGACGATGTTGTACGTGGTTTAACTGATGATATTGAATTTAATCCTTTATCACGATTATTAGTATTCAATATAAATTTTAAATCAACATATAAAATTTCATCGTTTGTAGCAATAATCATAGTCTGTTTAGACATGGCCATTGTTGCTACTTCACTATCTAATTGAAATAGTTCAGTAACTGGTTGCCCTTGTGATTGTATTTCTAATACTCGTGACCAATGTTTTTGCCATTGTCCATTGAAATATTTTCCACTTGTCATTGTATCTAAAATATAACATTTTTCATCATTAATGGCTTGTACACTACATGGCCAACGTAAACGTTGTGTTAATAATAATTGATCATCGATTATTTTTATTATTTGACCATTATGACTGTCACATATTTGTAATGAAAATGTATAGGCAATATCATGATCCTAGAAAATAGTCAATATTCCATTAAATAAAAGATCTTTGAGATTCCTAACCAATAGTAATAAAAAAATAATTCGTATATTTAGAAAAAGTTATACTTACGTAAGAGGGTTTACAATGTTCAACAATCATATATAATTTAGTTCCATACACAGATATTAATTTTGGACGCGCTTCGTCATAATTATCAGACTGATTAAATACACGCCATTGTGTTAGAAATTCTAATTTATCATCAAATTTAATAATACATGAATTAAGATAATCGCATACATACACATGACCGTGAATATCGTCCGTATCAATACCCAATGGTAGAAATGTTCCTGATTGACCATGTGAATTCGTTTCTAAACAATAGAAATAAAAACTTAATTTAAAAATCTGAAATCTTAGAAAAATTAAGACTTTTTTAAACTACAGCAAAACACAGTTAAATGATATCACTAACATCCGAAACAGACAGTAGAGAACTAAAGAGAAAACCACTGACCTTTAACACAATCAATTAACTTTCCATTTTCAATGTCAATCATTGATACTGTTTCATCATTTGAAATATAGGCAATATTGCTAGTTGATTGTTTTTTTGATATTGCTATACCTCGAATGGACGGTGTTAACAATATTTTTTTCAGTACTTCACCATAATCATTCAAGATGAATAATTCATTACAAATGCCTAACAGTATTTTGTTGCTATGATTGACTATCGCGATAGCTTCCGGTTCTAGATTACTCAAATGATCAATCTTAATAGATTTGTTTGGTGTCAGGGCTGTTGTATTGTTTAGTGCTTGGGGTTGTATCGATTGATGAAATAATTGTTGAATTCGATAGTTTCTATCATAGGTATCATCGTAAGACGATATTTGTCTTCTACTCCATTGTTGTTGATTATCATTGTATGTAATTTGTCCAATTGTATCTGCTGTTAATGCTCTTTTACCTTCTTCAAACTTTAGTGCTGCCTGTGGTCCTTTTTCATTTTCAACCGCACTTCTTATTTGTTGAATATTTTGTTCTAATTGTTCTAAATTATCCCATAATTTATTTCCAGTTATTAATTGTTGGATACTATATTGATCTGTTTGTTTCAAACGTTTTAATTCATTACCGACCGATTGTGTTTGATCTGCCAAAGACGAATATATTTTTTGTTTACGATAATAATGTTCAGTGATGCCTTTATCTAACTGCTTACTAATATGTTTAACTTCTGCATGTATAGCCGATTCTTTCTTTTCAATTTGTGTTTTGATATCTTCATAATCGTATGTCAAACGTTTCAGTGTATCTTCAATTTCTTGTTCTAAATGTTTTTGATCATGTAATAAATTTTCAACTTTTGATGTTACATTCGAAACGATTAATGAGTTTGAGGATACCATTGGGCTTGATCTACTAAGATTATTATTATTATTAAAACTGTTTTTGTACGAAGATGATGAACGATTAAAATTTGTTGGGGTATATGTAGATAATTCTGGTGCTAAGTAATGACTTTCACTATTGCCACCTGAATTTGTACGAAATCGCCTTTGTTGAGATCTATCAGATATATTTGAAATACGTCTTTGATCATCAATTCGAGCATAGTAATTCTGATCATCATCGTCGTCTTGACGTGGTGTACGTTGTCCTGTGGGTGTTGTTGAACCACTTTCTAGATCATTTGGTTGCTTAAGCGGTGAAAATTCGGAGTCAGGATTAAAACGATCTTTGTTATCTGCTGAACGGTATGATTTTGTAGAAGACGAAGCAGATGATGAACGTTTATTACTGCCGACTTTAGCTTCTTTTACATGAGATGGTAATGGCTGAAATTTTGATTCAGAACGTATACTATCACGTTTTGATGTTGATGATTGACGATCTGAACTAACAACTGATGATGGACGGTCTTGTTGTTGATCATTTCCATGAGTCGATGATGATGCAACACTAACACGATTTGCTGATGGACGATATCTCGTATTATTATCATGGGCAGCTGAGTAACCATGATCTTGATGAAGTTGTTGCTGAACACTACCTTGACGTGACGGTGGACGATCGGTTCCTGTCGGTGTACTGTAATTATCATCATTGTCGCGTGTATTATCATTGCGACTATTTGATCGTTTATCTGATATGTTACGTTGACTATTTATAGACTCACGTTTATTATAATTAGAAAAACTAGCTGCATTAGTATCGTCTTGTGTTTGCCCAATTCTGGACTTGGCAATGGCAGTGGAATCGTGACTTATTTGTGAATTGAACAATTGATGGCCTTGTATGGGTTCAGTTCCGGAATTTGAATGACGTGGTGAATAATTCTTATTCTGATGTTCAATATCTGTTTGATCTAGATATGATTTACGTTGCTGTATTGGCGATGATGTGGATGAAGTTTCACGTGATCGTTGAATGGGAGTAATGATCTCTTGTGAATTTTGTGCATCATTCGTTATTATCGATGATTTTTTTTCTAATGTTCGATATCGATTTTCATATTCATCATCATCAAATGGTTTAACAATCGATGCTATTGTTGAATATTTATTGGTTTCTGATGTAGTTTTGTGTGATTGCGAGTTTTCTGGTAGAGGAGACGCGTGCGGATTTCCGTTAACAAGTGAATCCCAGGTGATTTCTTCATAATGATCATCAGTTCGATTTACTGCAGTTGCTTCACGAAATATTCGCGTTAGTTCATCATATTTTTGACTACTAGCGCTTAGTCCTGGATTTTCACTTTGATTTTTTGCGTCTGAAAATATTGTTACTAAATTTGTTATACCACCATCGCTTCGCAGCAGTGTTTGCAAATCTTGTATGCGGCTAAAACCATTGTCATTGGTTGACGAAGTACGAGATGTTGCTTCGGATGTTCGGTCGTGTACAGAGGTTTCCAGAAACTGTATCTCTGTCGGCTGTTGTGTAGATGCGAATGTTTTTTGTTGCTGTGTATTCGTTGCTATTGATGATGTCGTACTGTTACTTTGATTCAGTTTTCCAATACTACTTTTTGAACCATAAGTAGCTCCAAAACTTTTTTGTGATAGAAGTTGGTTTTTTGATTGGGTTGGATCCAGAATCATATTTTTTGGTAAGTCTTGTGCCCGTTGTTCATCAAATGGAGATTGAACATCAAAACATTTTTCACATGTGAGACTATTGTTTTTGATCAATTTGTTTTCGATGCAGTCCAAACAAAATGTGTGTGAACAAGGTAGCACTCGTGGATCTGTATATGGTTTATTGCATATCGCACAATTTTGGATAACGACTTTTGCCAATGGTTTTTGTGCGCCACTTTTTAGTTTAAAAGCCTTATGTGCATTTGTGACTGACGTTACGAACGATGCTAACTTTGGTTGTAAAGGTACGCCATTTCGATTTAGCGAATGCTGTGGTTGTGTTGAAACGCGAGACATCTTGTATTTAATATTCTAATAGCTAGATAATAACATTGAAATAATAATAATAATAATAATAATATAAAGAAATTAGCTCGGCTTGAATTTTAGTTAATCATATAAATGAAATAGTAAAACCAAAAAACTGAAAGAAAACGCTTACGATAATTGAGTTATACTATGGAATAAGCAAAGAAACCGCTTAAACAACACGTTTTTACTTAACAGAAGTCATTTTTTCTCCCTTCTTTTTCTCATGTTCTTTTACTCTTTATCTTTGTCAAATAGTAATTTCTTCATAACAATTTTTATTGTTATAATATATACTAGAAAAAAAAGAAATATAAAGGTTTATTATACGCGTGACCGTTGTAAATCACTTGTCATCGAAGAAGTTAAAAAAGTCTTTTTTCTCTCCTCTCTAGTTCTTCTCTTACTGATAACATTATGCGAGATCTGTGTCTTATCTATAAAGACGAATAATTTATTTTACATAAAACTTAAACAGCCAACTGCAAACACAACAATAACAACAGTCACTTGGACTGTGAAAAATTCGCTTTAAATTAAGAATTCTTATAATTAAAATGCGAAACTATTGTTATGTTATTAAATTTTATTTCATCGACAGTATAATTCTAAAGATTTATACTAAAAACATCATAAAAATTTTTAAGAAAATGCTAGTTCACATGTTACATATGAATTTTGGAATTTTTCTCTTTGCTAAATTAGAAACATTGTGCAATCTCAGTTTAAATATATGAACTGACACAGTCTAAAACTAAATGTCAGTTACTGTTTTAATAATATATATAGTTTAAATACATATCAAACATACTGTTTGAAAATTTCTGAGCGTTTTTTTTTTCTCCACTAAGTGTATTTTTGACAGTTTAAAAATTCAACTGTCAATTGTGAAACAAATAGATTGAAATGTTGATAGGTATATATGATCTAATAAACTTTTTTTCTACGTTGACCAAAATAGTCCAAGATTCTTCCTTATCACACTCAAAGTTAACCAGACATCTGCACAATCGGTAAGCAACATTGCAGATTATTGGAAGGAAAATAAACTGTTAACAGTATTAATTGCAAATAATTATTTTTCTTACCTTAAAAAATTTTCTACATTTTCTACAATAGTGTATATAAAGAGTTTAGACGTCTAGGACATAATATATGGCTATTAATTACAAATATCTTTATATAGTTCAGAAAAAAGCAATGATAGATAACACCTGATTACATTTCAGTCTTTTAACATAATTATCCGAGTATTCGTTTATCTTTTCTTCTTTTGCTTCATTCACCGTACCGAGAATCAATCGAATATCTTTAAAAAATACGATAATAATATAATGTGGGGCTATTTACTAAATGATTAAAAATTCAAAACAAAAAACGAAAATGATATTTTCTTCTTTTTCTGATTTTCTTCTTCGTATTTGAAAATTTTAAAAAAATAAAAAAAAATTTCACACACATTTCATTCTGCATATCAAAAGAGAAAGAATTAAAAAAAATCTATTTTGTTTAAAATCATGCTTCTTTTTCTTTTTCAATATCAACAACACTAGGATTGTTTTTAATTTTAGAAATATTGATATTAGTAAACTACCCATATTCGAACACTTACGATTTATTTTAAGCTCTCACAACAGTATGCAAGACTATAGTGAATAAATATAAAATTTATACATATACATGAATATAGATATAATCATAGATCATTCTTATTCTTCTCTCATTCTCTCACTTTTCTTTTTTCTCTCTTAATCCTTCTCATTCATTATAGAACATAATTTTGATTTTGAGACATATTTCTTCAAGAATCAAGCGTTTATCTAAATTATATAGAGAGAGAAAGAAACCTCATAAAAGACTAAAAAAGTAAATGATTGTTGCTGTTGTGGTTTTTTTGATGAAAACTATCCAAATGAAAAAATTTTAAATCAGAAAAATATAACTAAATATATTATGGTTAAGTGGAAGTACAATTCCATCATAAACGAAAATATTCTACTATAACAGTAAATTTTGTTTTGATTTTAGAATATCTTTATTCATTTCTTATTTACAGCATCATATTTTTTTTGTTGTTGTTGTTGTTTTAATGCATTTTTAAAATCAAAACTTGTCAAAAAACTAATTCTCTTTATCATCGTATCCATTTTCAATGGCCTTCAAGAAATTTGATGTAACTTTTAATTCTCAATCGGTTATTTTCACTTTTCATTAGTAATCTTACAAGAAAAATCATTTAATTTTCGATAAAAGAGTAAAAGACATTCTTTTTAAGATGAAAGAAAATCGTTGTTTAAAAACATTTATTTTATGTTAATATCAAGTTCATTCCTTTTTGGTTCATTTATATATGAGATAATCGAAAAATGATAGTTTGATTATAGAAGAAACAACTTTTTCTGTTTTTATCAATGTAAAAAAAAAAAAAAGTCGTGTAACAAAAGATATTTGAGAAAAAAACAAAAAAACGTATGTCCTTCTTTCGCTATTCGTGGTTATACGATAAATTGTAAAAGGACTCTTTTTTTCTTTTGGTTGTTTTAGTTCTACAATTGAAAAGCAAATAATGTTATCGCCCTATTTAACGCTTAAACATGTCAAGAGAGAATATTACGGCTGTAGTATCCTTACTGGATCAAGTGATATGTGTGGTTTTTTTTCTCTTCATACTTTCGACTCTTTCATATAATAATGTATTATTTTTTTTAAATTTCTTAATCGCTTTCGTACATACACGTAAACAATCGTTACCTTTACTATCTATAATAAATATAAAGAATATATCTAGATCTCGTTTCTCATATATACGTGATTGTCTGATGCTATTTTTCCATTTTCTTTCTGAAATATGCAATTAACATGAACATGTCATTCCATTCTATTAAATAGATTATTATACTAATTATAAGACATGTACATATCTTTCCGTTGATTATGTGATGAATTTTTACTCCTTATTATTATCTAACAGTACGTTTAAAGATATAAACATGACAACGAAACTTCTCTAATGAGTAAAGTAAACTCAAGTATCTTATATCTTATACTTGTACTTGTATACGTGTATTTTTATGAGAAATATTCTCGATGATCAAAACAATAGTCAGATAATTACCAAAAACAGTCATCACAATCTAGTATTACCTTCCCGAATCAGTTCAACCATTTGACTTGGAAAAATGGTAAAAGGGACTAAAATATTCATTCTCTGTTTAACAAAAAAAAAAAAGTAGCATCAATCTAGGCACGCGTGTACATTTAAGGTTTAACAAGTTTTACCTTCACATGTGGAAAAAAGGTATTAATGTGTACGGAAGTAACACTATTAGTTGAGAAGAGAATAAGAACAGCAAAGAGAACATTTTAAGCATATGTAAAATTTTTTTAATTAAGAAAATTTTTTTTATATATCTTGTAAGTTTTATTCTTAAAAAATGATTCCATGGTATTTTAGTCATGTTTCAAGTGAAGCGTTTAATTTTGCTTTTCAACGATGACACGAGTTGTTATATAATTAAATTCATCAAGTATTATATATAACTGTTTGTATGGACAATCATTACTATCACCATCGCCAATTAGTACTCGGCCAAATGACGTTTATTTGTAGTTCATGGGATTTTGTCATTGTCGTTTATCTAATTTGGTCTGTTTTATTGTTTATATGAGATTTACCTATGCACACACACACACACACACACACACACAC